ATACTGAGATTGAGGTTTGAAGATGTTGGTTAATTTTGGGTTGTAGACTAGTTTGCCAAGAGGTAGATAATGTGTAGTTGTGCAAATATTTATGATATACTGAGAAACTAACCAGTATACCAAAAATGAAATAATGAAAAATTAGGTAACCCTAAAGAAAGGGATACCAAATACAGAAAATAACAGGCATATACAAGTTAAGCTATCACTATTGCAAGTAAAATCATGTATAGTAATACATATATCTATGGGTTTAAACATCGCAGATACTAAAATAGATAGATTATTTGATTAGAAAATTAAAAGAATTATTGAAGAAATATAGCATGCATATACAATAGAAAGCAAAGTATATATTGTATATAAAAACAAAATTTTACAAAAATTTAAAACCGGTACTCATTATTATTCATTCAACTCTCCCTAACGATCACTTATACCAAACTTACGACTAATGAAAACAGAAACTTGTTGGAGAAAAGTAGAAGAGACAACTATACAAGTAATAGTTTTTACAGAGATCAAGGGTCTTCTTTATTCCCTAGACTTCTTTGTATATTCAGCAAGCAAGTTAAAAGCGTTCTTGTACAAGATAACTGGCAGGAGGTGGTACTCTTATACAAAAAATTTTAATAGAAGCATAGCTTCTGCTGACAAAGTAAAAGTAAAGTTGATCTAGAAGAACAGCAAGTGAGTTTTCAACACACTCCCTATCGAAGTTTAAGACTACCTGCTAACCGAAACCTTTACAATACACCACTCTTTGCACTTCATGAAATTTTACCAAAAAATAGGAAAAATAGTGTATCCCCGATAAAGGATCAATCTAAGGATCATTGCCGAAAAGGAAAGTCACGTACAGAAGTACGTGTCTGCTTTGGGAAAATAATATATAATCATAACCTAAAATAGGAAACACGTGAATATGTTGCAAAAGTTTTTCGAAGCTACGTGATTGAAAATTTCGAACTTGGACCTTTACTCAAGAACAGAAGTTCAGATAACTTCTTACATCCTAGATATAGACATAAATAACTAATATAGAGATTAAATTAGTTTATTTAATAGTACTATATAATGTTTTTAGTCTAATACAGGCTTAATAATACTATCTTTGTTTTCTTTTTTTTTGTTTTTATTTCTTTGATTTGTTTTGGTTTTTTGTTTTAGATGGATTGGTTTCATTGTTGAGTTTATTTCCCATTTTTACTCCTTTTGTTTTAGTATTTGTGTTTCTTTACTAATAAGAAAAGCTAATATTGATACTTATGGTTTGCAGTCACCAGCCAAGGATTGAAGAGAAAAAGTTCTTAGTTAGTTTCAGACCTGAATTGAGGCTAATGACTGCTGAGGCAGGCCACATTGGGCATAAGCTTGGTGAGCCATTTGTACAGAGATCTTACAGCTAGGAGAGAAATTCTTGTAATTTGTGGAATAGTTTTAGTCATAAATAAATAGCGGCAGGCAGCCAAATTATAAAAAAAAAAAATTTAAAACCGGTACTAGAAGAGAAACAAAGAAAACAAATTAAAGACAATTTGAAAGCTATACTAAGCCAAATCAAAAATACTGATATCATTATCTTATTAGAAAACTTAGCAGCTAACAAATGTTATAGAGCACAAATAGAAAATCTCTTAAAAATTAAGAGAAGTATAGACAAAACTTTATTAACTAAAGTGATAAATATAAAAAGCCAAACTAACCACTTACAGAACATAAAATAGAATGTATAAAGCTATACTTTGATATGCAACACTATTTTGTAACAGGAAACAGAAAATACCTAGATGACTATAAACAAGTTATAAATAAATATGGAAATGAGATATATCTCTTATACATTAATAATATAATGAAAGAAAAAAAAATAAAACAAAAAAACAGATCTGTGAAGAAGATTAAAGCAACAATATTTGGCTCTAAACAAGATGTTTATACACTATTACTACAAGAACAATTACCGTAAGAAATATTTAAAATGATAGCAATATATTCTAAAATAAAAGCAATGATATTAGAAACATCTGAAAAAACAGAAGAACAAAAACAAAAACAAATATGAGAAGTATATAGATTAAAACAATACGTTAAATTTGATAACATACTTCAGACTGATGAATTACTATTTAAAATAGAGTTTCAAAAAATAGAAAAATTAGACAAAGAAAAAATCTCCAAACATAAAGCAAATATAAAGCACCAGAAATAGTAAGTCTAAATGATCAAATTTAATGCTTACACCTTGAAGAACAAGAAAGGTATCAAGACCCTCAAAAACAAGAAGCAATAGAAAAAATGAGGCAAAAACAAATAAAACAAATATTATTTAAAGCTAATGAAGTATTGTTCAAGTACCAGAAATCACCTTTCACAGCTTCAAGTAAGAACCCCCACTGTAAAGTGTCTGGCACACAAAAAAAAATTTGGTATACTACAGGC